ACCATCATTTTTAATAGTGTTCCGAACCTCATGCAATTCTGTTCGATTCTATTCGATTCCAATTTTCAGAACCATATATAATAATATATTTTTTGAAAATAATTGAATTTTTATAATAAAAAATCTAAAATAAAAAATTTTATTCATTTTTATATATAAAAAATGTGATCAGAAATAGGCAAAAAAAAATTTTGTTTTTTTTTAAAATTTTTATAAAAATGTAAAAATATTATATAAATATTTATGATTATTTTTAATATATATAATCAATCTTGTCTAAAGTCATTTCATTTGGACAAATAGATATTGATGATTTTAGATAAAGATGACTTGAAAAAATAAATAATACAAAAATAATTATTATGATTGGATAAATGCAACTGACATAAGTATATCAATTTTCTTTTTTTCTTAGAATTAAATTTTTAATATATTAGACACAACTTTATTTTCAAGTAATTATTATACATGTAATATATAAAAATACTACAGTAATATATTTATTTTTATTATTAATCTGTAATGATAATTAAGATTCATTATTAAAAAAGGAACTGATATTCTATTATTTCTTTTGTTGTGCTACCTTTAATATAGCTTTTCGTATTAGCTGTCTAAGTTTTTTTAAAAACTCTACATTAATTTCCACTTCGTCCTGCTGTTTACATCACAAAAGAGTACCTTCAAGTATTTCTTTTCCTTGCATTATAGTTATTGGCAATAGTGCTATCTCGTCTTTAGAATTATTTTCAGGTGGCAAAGGATTAGAGCGGCATAAGACTTCCTTTACAATTTTCACATCAGACATAATTTTATAACTTGCAATAGCAGAATCCATTTCAAGAAACTGCTCTGTGGACATTCGAATCTCAGGATTAATATCAAGCTAATTAATTAGATGCATAATATTTGTATGAATGTTACTTTCAACATTGATATTTGGTAACAATAATGATAATTCTGCATCCATGATTCCTATATGCTTCCAGCAATTGTGAATCGTCTCCGGAGTAATTTGATTCCATAAGTTAGCAAGAAAATAAATTGTATCTTTAATAGAAACCTTTGCCATTTTAACCTTGCTATCATATTGGTCAACCATATGTGATAGGTGGAAGTAAAGATCCTAACGATTCGATTCGATTCAAATTTAAAATAGAATTGGAATCGAATCGAATCGAATAAAATTAATTCGATTCGATTCTATTCAATTCAATTCGATTCTATTTAATTCGATTCAATTCTATTTAATTCAATTCGATTCGATTCTATTTAATTCAATTCGATTCGATTCTATTTAATTCAATTCGATTCGATTCGATTTAATTCAATTCAATTCGATTCCATTCAATTTTATTCGATTTAATTTAATTCAATTCAATTCAATTTGATTTGATTCTATTTGATTCAATTCAATTTTATTCGATTTAATTCAATTCAATTCAATTCAATTTGATTTGATTCTATTTGATTCAATTTAATTTAATTCTATTCAATTCACTTTAATTTAATTTAATTTGATTTTATTTAATTCAATTTTATTTTATTTAATTTAATTTAATTAATTATATTTAATTAATTTTAATTAATTTTTTAAATTTTTATATATTAATATATAATAT